ATATTCTCACTTATATATTTATTGACTTATTTATTTATTTATTTACTCATTTATTGATGAATTAATTTTATTTCATTAATTTATTAATTAATATAAAAAATTAGAATACAATTTTAATTGGGAGAATGTACAGAAAGCGCGAGGGGCCTCATGGCATGCTACGCTTCTGCGGCTGGATCTGATTGATCAACTTTAATCGTTAATAACTCGATAAACAATAGTCTGAGCCAAAATTGGAGTAAGCAAGTTAACCTTCCAGCAGTAAGCAAGTAAGCAAAAGCAGTAAGCAAGTTAACTTTCCAGAAGAATATTCAGACTCATTCTTCACTAATCCGGTGCGGACTACTTGGGACCTCCGAATTTCGTTGAAGGCTCTCGAAGGCTCCTGGTCGCCCTTACCTCTCTTTCTCTCTCTTTCTTACGCCGGTGCGGACTATTTGGGACCTCCGAATTTCGTTGAAGGCTTTCAAAGATTCCCAATCGCTCTTGTCTATCTTTCTCTTTTTCTCTTACGTCGGTGTGAACTACTTGGAATCTTCGAATTTCGTTGAAAGCCCTCGAAGACTCTCGGTCGCTCTTATCTACATTTTCATTTTTCTCCCTCTGTCTCTCCTAGTTTTCTTTTCCTGCTTTATTCATATGCCAAATTTCTTTTTATTCATTTTTTGAATTAAACAGAAGTGCCGACTTCTAAAAATCGACAATTTGACCGCTTATCAAAATGACCCCGTCGCCATTATAATGGTGAAGCCTGACAGACGTTCAGAGAAACAAAAAAGCGAAACAAAACAATCTACCGAATCGCTACCGTCAACTTCTTCTACCATCTCGAATCTCCCTCTCCTCTTTTTCCTCAATCTTTCTACTTCTTCTACTCCCTCTTTTGAATCTTCTCTGGACTCTTTTTCCCAACTTTTCTCCGAGTTTTCTACCGGTTCCGCTGGAAATCCATATTATGCATTTGACCCTGAATTTATCATCGACTTCGATGATATTTCCGGTTCTTTATTCTATAATGAAGAGAGATGGAGAATCCCAATGGAGAATCCCTGTTTCCAAATATTGAAATAGATTTTCCTGAATTATTTGATCTCTCAATCCATCCTCCAAAGCAATTTCAAGCCTACTCTCCTCCTTAATTTTCCATTATGTACACACATACATATTAAATAAATAATGTCAATTTTTCGTTTTATTTAATTTAAGTTTATTCCCAAACATATTTTTGTAATGTATTACTGGATCATCGCTTAATATACTCTTACACTCACACTCTCCCTACTAGAAATCCTACCCGATGGCCGCCGATTGTAACATCCGCCATAACATACATGCACACTACTCGCCCACATCATTTTTCTTGCTTCTCAAAGGAAACATGTACAACATTAACCATATTAAACCATATTAAACATTTAGTTTAATTTTAATTTCTCTTTATTTCTCTTAAAATCCTCGTCTCATTCCCTGCATCCCACTGATCACACGAGATCTATTCCTAGTAATAGGAATTAAGTTTCTTGACCAGAAAATGACCGACCAGCGCACGTCTGTGGAATAGCGTCATAGTGTTCTCGCATCGCTGACTTAGTGCCGAGACTTATTAGTGCTTGGACTCGAAGGATCACGTTTCCACGCTTGGTCTTCGAGAGAGAGTAACTGTTCGCGTCCTTCCAAGCCCATTCGTACCCTGTTCGCAAATTTTAATTCTTAATTTTCAATTTTTAATTTACTCCGGGCTGGACGTAACAATAAATAATCGACGCTGTACAACGGCTGTCACATTGAAAAATATCAGTTGCTATTAGCACTGATTATCCATCAATAACATGAAAATGTCTGACACTCAAAGAACCTTATGATTTTAATATCTAAAGAGAAAGATATCATTGTTCGCACTGAATGATTGACAGATGTACATATGGACCATTTCTTTTACGAAGTTGTTCAAAATATAAGCTTGTGGAAACATGGCGAATACAATTACCTGATACAACCTATATCGATAGATATAGGTATAAAAAACATATACAAATACTACATAGTTCATCTGAATGTTCATTAGATGGACATTGGATATGTAATTATTATGATAGAAAAATATATTTATATATGATTCTTTAAATAATAAAACTTTACATAAATATCATGAATAATTTTTAAAAAGATTATTTCCAACATACGATTTTCAGAAACATCCTGTCAAATTTCCTATTGTACAACGTCAACTGAACTATAGCGATTGTGATTTTCGTTATAGCTTTTGCAGTTTCATTATTATTTAATATTAAACCTGATAAAGATATGATCATAAGTTAATGCATTCTCATTTGAAATTCATTTAAATTCACTTAATTTAAATTTAAATTCATTTAAATTCATTTAAAAATTCCATTTAAAAATTCAAAATTTAAATTTATTTAAAAATTCTTGAAACAAATTGAGCATTTTCCTCAAGATCCACAGAATGTTGCTCAAAAAGTACTTCCTTTAGCAATAATAAAAATAAGAGAGGCTGAAACAATTTGTATACGTATAATATGTCAATCTGAGACGGATCAACAGAAATTGAATCGATTAAGAAAACGTCGTGATAATTATGCCAGTAAAAAAGAATTTAATAAAATACAATTAATTCAAAGCGTTACAAAGGAAATTACAGAAGAAATTATAGAAGAAATAATCAAAAATACTATTTAGATTGAACAAAATAATAATATATGTTCTAAAAATCTATATCAAGATTTAGAGAATAATTATGAGACGCAAAGCATTAAAACTAAACAAAACATTAAAAATAAATGTTTTCAAAATAAAGTACAATTAATCCAAAGCGTTTCACAGGAAATTGTGGAAGAGCTAGTCAACAATCAGACTGAACAAAATAATAAAAAGAAATATCTTCAAAATAAAGATCGATATTTACATCAAGAAGGAAATTATCGTGCTAAAAAATGTCACCAACAAGATCTAGAAAATAATTGTGTTAAAAAACGTTACTGGTATGAACAGGATTTAGAAAATAATCGTGCTAAACAAAAATTGCGAAAAATAAAAAATTTTTTAAATAATCGCTAAAAAATGCAGCGATATAAAAAGGATTTGGAAAATAATCGTGCTAAAAAGATGCAGCGATATAAAAAAGACTTAGACAATAATCGCGCTAAACAAATTAAGCAATATAAAAAAGACTTACACAATAATCGCGTTAAACAAATGAAGCGATAAAAAAGATTTAGACAACAATCGCACTAAAAAATCTCGTTTATATTCGAACAGAATTTAGATAATATTCATGCTAGAAAACGTCGTCGATATGAATACGATATAGAAAATAATCGCACTAAAAAACGAATATGTTACTTAAAACATTTTCAGCATGAACGTGACAGACAGAAAACTGCGATCGTAAATGGTATAATAAGCGATATTACGAAAAAAAGAAATCAAAATCCATCATTAAAAAAAATTGTAGCATTAGCAAAAATATTATTAAAAATATGAAAGATTTTGGTCACAAAATTTTATAAAATTTCGTAATCCTGTAGCAGTAGAAGAGATTTCAAGGAAACTTAAAATATTAAAAATCATGTTGAAAAACGAATACAAACCGAAACAATCGTACGTTGGTGCGCACATTCGGAACAATTATGTCTGCAATATGTGTAAGATATTAACATTACTTAAAAAGAAATCAGAAGTATGTTTGAGTCGCAAATGATGATAAATGCAAAACAATTAATGATAAATTAAGTGCACTTTGTGGCAAATCGAGACATACAGCTAAGTCTGAGAATTATTTTATTGATACTACATATCGCAATATTATTGAATCACAACCTTTGAAAATAAATATAAAAAATTACAAATGTATTACCTTTGATGAAAGCACTTTGATGAGCAAAAAAAATGATTATGTGATACCTTGTAAAATTGACGATCTTTGTAATTGATTGTTATGAAAAATTCTTTCAAATAATAAATATATGTACTTTTAAGGAAATACCACAATTACTACAAAAGATTCATAAATGTACAAGAAAACAAGATTAGAA